AGAAGAAGAAGAGAAATTCCATTTGACCCAGCTATTCCCTCTAGGATCTTCTTGAGAGTTAAAGCGCCACACAATGATACATGGGCATTTACATTTATAGCAATACAATTTACAAAAGTTAAAACTTTGAAGCAGCTTATATGCCCATCAACCAAAGGATGGATAAAGATAACACAGTATTTATACACAATGGGGTATATTTATATACTCTGCCATAAAGAATGATATATCTGAGCCATTTGTAGGAAAATGGATGTATTTCCAGATCATAATATTAAGTGAAATAAATCATACCATCAGCTTAAATATTGCACGGTTTGTCTTGTACGAGAATCCCAAAATATAAATAAAGAGCAAAAACAAATGATAGGTAATAAGAAAAAGGAAAACAGATGTTTTGCAAAGGGGCAGATCCTGAAGAGGTGTGGGGAGGGGAAGGGAGTTGAAAAAAAGAATAATGATGTGTTATGCATGTGTGCCAGCTTTCCCCAAGGAATGGAGTCATTATGTGCTACAAACTTGTATTAATAAAAAATAAAACGTAGAAAGAAAGAGAGCTGACCATTCTGAGCTAGAAGTGGTGACACATGCCTGCAATCCAAATTGTCCAGAAGGTTGAGACAGAAAGATTGCAAGCTTGAGGACAGTCTGGACAACTTAACACAACTTTTAGAATAAAATTTTAGCTGGACATGTGGCACACACCTGCAATCCCAGCACTGGGGAGACTGAGACAGGAGGATCGCAGCAAGTTTGATACCAGCCTGAGCTACATAGTGAGATGAAGACCAGTCTAAACTGCATGGCAAGGCCCTGTGTTAAAAAAAAAAAAAAAAAAAAAAAAAGCAACAACAACAACAAAAAACCCCAAAAAACAAAAAACAACTTAAAATTCAAAAATATTTAAATAAAATGTTTAAAAAGGCCAGGGGTTGTAGCTTGGTGGTAGAGCTAACTGGAGACCTAGCCTTACCTGAGTTTTGATCACACAGAAGCCAAGCCACTCTAAAATCTAAAATGATTTCTTGGTTTCAAGAAAAGTGAGAAAAGAGGCTTAACCTTTTGGTCCACAGCTCTTGCTCACCAGATGCCTTTATACCTGCAAGCACGTGCTCTGCCTAGAAAGCTACTGAGCTTGTGGTTTCATTTCAGTTTTCTTTTTCTTTCTCTTTTTCCCTTTCTTTCGCTCTTTCATTCTTTTTTCTTTTCTTTTCTTTTTCTTTTTTGAGACAGGGTCTCGCTTTGCAGTTCAGCCTAGCCTCAAACTCATGGCAATCCTCCTGCCTCAGCCTCCTGAGGGCTGGGATTATAGGCATGTGCCACCATACCTGGCTTATCCAGGTTTTCTGAATGTGTTCTTTCATTTCTCAGTGACTTAGTATTTTTAATTTCAATTGTTCCCTTAACTGAGATCTTATTTCTGTCTTTTTACAGGAAGGAAGGAAGGAAGGAAGGAAGGAAGGAAGGAAGGAAGGAAGGAAGGAAGGAAGGAAGCAAGGAAGGAAAGAAGCAAGGAAGGAAGGAAGCAAGGAAGGAAGGAAAAGAGAAAGAGAAAGAGAAAGAGAAAGAGAAAGAGAAAGAGAAAGAGAAAGAGAAAGAGAAAGAGAAAGAGAAAGAAAAAGTAAATCCAAGTGCGGTGACACATGCTTGCAATCCTAGCACTCTGGCAGCTGAAGGCAGGAGGGCTGAAGGTTCCAACCAGCCTGGGCAACTTAGTGACTTAGCAAGACCCTGTGTTGAAATAAAAAATAAAATGGACTGGAGATATAGCCCAGAGAGAAGGTCTTGGTTTCAATCCCTAGAACTGCAAGACAAAGGCAAAACAAAATGAAACAAAACACTGGCATCATGACAACCAAGCATAAGTGAAAGAATTTAGAAATGCAATTGCACTTGTGCTTCCAGTGGTGCACGGAATTATTTTTCCTGATTGTATATTCTTCCATTATTTCCTTTTTTCCCTTAGCCTTTTCACTTTGACTCTCTGGGCTCACCTGTCTACTTGACTACGGTCCTCCAGTAAGGAAGTCATAAAGACAGGAGCTGACTGGTCCACCATGTCTTTATGTGATGCAAATTCAAAATAAATGGGTCTCATATGCAAGTGGAACTCTTCAAAGCCCATCTCCTGAGCCAGTTCCTTATACAGCCTAAGAGAGAAAAAAAGCAAGTGTTTTCTTCTGAAATGAAAGTAAGTGGTAGGCAAATGAACACCCTAAGTACGGAAGGAAAGGTCAGATGAGAGTAAGCCGAGGTCCCATGTGAGGCGAACGAGCCACCAAGGCCTGTGTTCTGCTCTTGCTGTGACACGTGGGAAGACAGCTGGAGATGGGCTGGGGCCTCTCATTTCCTCAGCATGGCGTCTATGCACAGAGCCCTTATTGGGGACCACAAGTTATAAATAGAGGCCAAGGTCCAGAGGCCCTGATGGTCCCCCTCCCTAGACTGCGATTGGGGGGGGGGCAAGACGACAACTAAAGACATCCTGGTTCCTGGAGAACTCAGTAATAATAAAAACAGGGCTTTACCTTGGGGAAAGGACAACTCCTTCTTGACCTGCCACCTCTGCCACAGTCCTGTCCTCATCAGCATAAAGATCCTCCTTAGTCACCACTCCCCCGAGTCACACGATAATTCCTCTGTTGGTGTGCATGGCCAGTAAATGCTGGCCCGTTCAGTGCCATTGTCTCTGCTCATCTTGCCACACATTTCTAAATTTGTCTGTTTTTTATATCACCTTTCACCCTACCCCTCACACAGGCAGTTGGGGACCTTGGCCAGGTTCCCTGATTAACCCTCATGAGGTCACCTATACTGCCCTTCAGGAAACATTCCTATCTTCTTTCTGAGTTCTTCATAACTGGCTTCTCTGCCCATGTGCTTGCTTGCTTTCTTTCTTTCTTTCTTTCTTTCTTTCTTTCTTTCTTTCTTTCTTTCTTTCTTTCTTTCTTTCTTTCTTTCTTTTTCTCTTTCTCTCTCTCTCTTTCTTTCTTTCTCTTTCTCTCTTTTTCTTTCTTTCTTTTCTCTCTCTGTCTCTCTCTCTGTCTCTGTCTCTGTCTCTCTGTCTCTCTGTCTCTCTTTCTCTCTCTCCTTTTTGTCTTTTTGAGACAGGGTTTCACTATGTACTTCAGCTGGCCTCAAACTTGCACTGATCTTCCTGCCTCAGCCTCCCAAACTCTGTCCAAATTCCATTTTTTTTCAGCACCAGGAATCTGCCCACTTCTTGAAAAATATCTTCAAGAATTCATGATCTCTGTGCTCCTCTCATACAACCACTCTTTAGTACTTTTTCAGCCTTGAGTACTTTTTTTAAAAATTATTTTATGTATTTATTTATTTATGTGTGTGTGTGTGTGTGTGTGTGTGTGTGTGTGGCCAGCTCAGCCCACCAGGGGGTGGGGCTAGCTGTCATGTGGTGCTGGGGGATTGAACCGTGGTCCATGTGCTTTGCTAAGCTTGTTCTAAGTAGGTGCCTTAGACCACTGAGCCATCTCACCAGCCCCCAGCCTTGAGTACTTTTTCCCCTTTCTTTTCAAATACTGATGTTTTGGGGGGCTCCAGACTACTAGTTCTCTTCTACGACATCTCTTTTTTGAGGACTCCATCTAATTCTAGCCACTAAGACCCACCACCTAAGAATCTACAAACCTCCTCGCCACCCGGATTCAATTCTTGTGGGAGGCACAGTAACTCCGGGCCTCCAATACTGTTGCAAGTGAGTCTTTTCCTAAATCCTGTGAATCTGCCACATCATGACTCTGTGCCACATATCCCTTAATGGTCACCTGAGTGCCTCTGACCTGTAAAATCCTCTTGGTGCATCAGTGTCATTAGTGACGCTGACTTCCTCTTCCCCTACCTCTGCTGAGCTAAGCTCCTAATTCTTCTTACCCCACCTATTTCCCATAAGTCTCCTGCTATGCCCCAGAGGTGGGACTTCCTGTCATAGACCGGTTGCCTAGTTACTCGCGCCTTTTACCCGCCAACGTCATTTCCCTATGCCTCCACTGTATATACCCAGAGTTTCCTTTGAATAAACGAGACTTGATCAGAATCCTGTCTTGTCTCCATTTCTCGCTTCTCCTGTCCTTTGTCCCTTCCTCAATTCCCCGCTCCTCTCCCAGGTAACCTTCGTTGACTGACCCGCTGGCTCGGGACAAATTCTGAGCTCGAATCCCCCATTTCCGTGGCTGGCAGTGTGTGTGGCCGCTGCCATCCTGACAGCTCAGCCTTGGGTGTCTGCACCGCTTTCTCCCTCCCCGCATAACCTGCTCGAACACATTTCTCATTTTAAGAAGTAGTTGTGTTAAGGCTGAATTTATCTCACACCACTATTCGCTTGCTAGGGCTGCTGTGACAGAGGACACAGAAACACTCGGCTTAACCAGCAGAAATGTGTCCTCTCTCAACTCTGGAGGATGGAAGCCTGAGACGCAGGTGTCAGAGCAGCAGGCTCCTCCTCCCTCTCAGCCTTGTTGGTAGCTATCTTCTGCCTGTGCTTTCACAGGGCCTTCCCTCCCTAGATTCCATCACATTTCCTCTTACAAGGCCCTGGCTCACAGTGGATAAGTGTCCATCCCGAGATCTCCAGTTTAACTTGATTAGGTCTTGAAAAAATCTGTCAAATAAGATCACACTCTGAGGCACTCGGGATTAGTCCTTAAACATACAGATTTTGTAATTACATAAGGTCGAAGTTCAACCTAAAATAGTCCTTCTTACATAAAGCTTTCTCCAATCTACTTAGAAAGAATGAAGTAATCCCTTTCTTGTACTTTCACATTATTTTGTTCAGATGAGTAGAATATCAGTATTGTACAGTATTGTGAGCAATTTTCAATTGTGACCTCTGTGAAAGCAAAGATCATAATTATGGAGAAGCGTGGTTGGAGAGGTAAAAGCATTTTGACTAATAATTTGACAGAGTTCAAAATCTGCTTTGTACTTCTTTCTAATTATTTTACATTTATTCATTTATTTTGTGTATTTATCATTACACAGATTGGACTCGTAGTGATCGTCCTGTTCTTCAGCCTCCCAAGCACTGGGATTACAGGCCTGCATCACCACACCCAGTCTCAATCACCATTTCAGTGTGCCCTGGGGGAGGTGGCCTGGCACTCTGGGGATCGAACCCCAGTCCCTGTGTCTGCCTAAGCAGGCGCTTTAGTCTGCTGAGCTATCTGGCCAGCCTTTATTATTTAACTGTTATGAGCTTCTGTTTTCTTGCTGATAAAGTATTTGTATCTACCTCATTGGAATACTCTGAGAATTAAATGAAATACACACATAAATTCTCTGGTGGGATTCTGGCCACAGCAGCTTCTTGCTGACAGTGTGTGGACAAATAGACTGTCCACAGAACATTTCAGGGGACTAGAATATAACACTTATACACATCTGCAACAAAACCTCTAGCTCCACATTCCTCCTGCATATGGATGTGATCTTTTCATATTTTACATCATCTCAGGCTTATAACTGAAGCCTAACTCTTTAGCTCCCTTTCCTCCTACCTGCTAAACCCCTTATACCCCGGCCAGACCTGGAGACTGCTGTCATTTCCCCTCTTTTCTCTAGGCCCTGTCCCATTCAACTTCATCATAGTCAAGAGGACCAACATCCCTAGAGTACAAGGTGTGGCACAGGAAACTATATGTGGATATAGTTTCCACATATCCGCACAGCTTGTGTGCTTGGAACTTCCTGGCTAGTACAACAGTGCTGAGAATGGGAGCTTTAGGAGGGGACTAGGTCCTTCCTTTGGCCCTGTGATGGTCAAGGAAGTAGGTTGGTTACTGCAGGAGTTAGCTCTGGAAGAAGACACGTGTTTGGCCACCCTGGTGCCTCCTTCCTCTCCCTCTCTCTTCTCTTTCTCTTGTGCATATCCATGCGAGAATATGCTCTGTTGCTCTTCTGCCTTCTGCCAGGGGAGGATGCAGCAACAAGGACCTTGAGAGATCCTCAGCCTGGGACTCACCAGCCTTCAGAACAGTGCCAAATAAATCCCTGTGTTTGATGAATTACCCAGTCTCCAGTGTTCCTTGATAGAGCACAAATGGACAGTCACCAGGTAATAGACTATCATGGTGAACAGCATGCACAGGACCTTTGCATTCAGGAAACTTCTCCCAGCTAGAAAGCTGTCATCTAATCAAGCATCTAATTAAACAGATACACATGTACTGAATGGAAAGGATACCCAGATAACACCGGGAGGGTCTCGTGTGGTTGAGCAGTCAGAGAGGCACTTGGGGAGACTCAGAAGAAAGAATGGAGGAGCAAGGTGGCCAGCTAGAAAGCTGCTCGCTCTGGCTGCTCTGGGGGCAAAGAGGGGCGAGGTCTGCTGGCTGGAATGCTGGGGCTGGCTGGCCATTCTCACCCAAAGCTCACGTTCTGCCTGAGCCTCGGTTCCCCCACTGACCTAGCTAGGTGTGCGCTCTCCAGGCTCATTTCCATCAGCCGGTGGCGGAGGGTCAGCAGTTCCAGAAGCTGGGCAAACGTCTCCAGGAGCAGCACAGGAGAGTGGTGGCCTTGCCTCTGCCCTTCATCCGCGGCAGCCTGGAGGGCAAGCTGGCCTATCTCCTCCACGAGAAAGGGGTCTCCCATCACCTTAGGTGAAAATAGCTGAAAGAAAACAAAGTACTTTTATTTTATTTTATTGAGAAACAAATAGCAATGAGACAGTTTCAAAACTGACTAATAAGACAGTTTCAATAATTAATACATTGTACATTGTTATCTTCTAAGTGGTTATCCATAGTACAAGATGCAGACAGGATATCCTGTCCAAACACTATTAGTACAAATCTTTCTTCTCATTGAATTAAGTGAAAGTAGCTGTATATCTATCCTAACTATTCTGTATATACAGATACAAATTGGTCCTTCCTTTGTATCCCTTTTTTTTTGTTTAGTTTTGTCAGAGATGAATATTCCATTGACCTCTAAATACTATGGGTGTGTGAATTCAGCAAAACAATCCAATACAGTCCAGCAGTCCACAATAGTAGTGGGTTATCGGCAGAAGTTGTTGACTTGAGCCTTTCATAGCTCA